AAACATGACAGTGGCAAGCCATACAACTATATGTAGAAGATGGACAAGGCAATGATCCTGAGAATCTCCAGAAGATTTTTGAATCTAGCAGTAAATTGGAAGGATTCTCACCCTGAGTATCTGTATATACAGACACCTGTAAACTAAGCAATTGCACTGAAGATGGCAATTTATAATAGTAGGTTCATGGTTGGAGTGCCTGTCATTCTGTCTTCTGAATACGGGCTGCTTGTCATGACATGCCAGTTGCTGCTGTGCTGTCTCTCAGGTAGATGATTGTTTAAAAAAGAACAGGGTGGTGAATGAAGGCAGGAGACAGGAAAAGGAGTGTTTCCAGACTGTCCTGCTACAATGTTGTATATGGTTAGATTTCTGGACTTATGTGTAAACATATATAATTGTTCATTCCTATTTTTAAAATATATTTTAATTTTTTTAAATTTTTGTCATATTCTATAGGGATTTAAAGCTTAGCATATCAATACCTGATGAAAAATACCTGTTCCATGTTATGCCTAAGATGTTTGATATTCAGACAGATAATGAGCTTAAGCTCAACAGACTAGGTTGTATGGTAATAATAATAAGCTTCTCTTCTTGATGGAAGAGACCAAGAGTTTGCAGACCAAAAATTAGAGAAAAAGGAAGGATGCAAGGAAAGCCAACATTTTGGCCCTAACCTTCCAAGGTCAATTAAGACTCAGGACAGATGAGAACTTGTACTGTAACATCATGTACCTCAGTAGTGTCCCAAATTTTCTGATCAAGGAGATTATGGGGCCAAAGAGGAAAGTGGTCGATGATGTAGAATGTGCCTCAGGAGAATCAGATGGAGAGAAAACATTCTCTTAGGCTTTCACAGAGAGCACATGGGCCAAGCAATGGCCGTGACTCATCCACATGGCTGACACTGACAAAGGACCTACAATCTGAGGTACAGGATCTCAGAATAAATCCTGAGGGGATTTGACTGACCTTATCAGATCCAAAAGCTACAAATCTTGTTGCATAGGTCTTGCTTTATCTTAGTCTTAACCATCCAGGAGAAAAGTATAAAAATGAAGTATAAGAAGTAAAGCCATATTGCTATGTTGAGCCATAGGGGACTCAGGTCAACAACTTCTGACGTTGCCTTCAAGCAGAAGACCCAATACTATTATGGACTACTGGGCTATTTTGACATATTTTGCTGAGTTAACACACCTATAATATTTAAATGACAGAAATAAATTTTAAAAAGGGGATACAAATGAAAGACCATTTTGTATCTGTGTATTCAAAATGGTTAGGATAGATATATAGCTACATTCTCTTCATGAATAGGGGAATTTGTTCTAATAGTGTTTGTAATTAGGATATCATATCTGCATCTTGTATAACAAATAACCACTAGGAAGACAGTATGCAGTGTGTTAATTATTGGAACTGTCCTACAAATTTGATTTGAAACTGTCTCATTGCTATTTATTTCTCAATAAAATTATGAGAAAAAAAATTAAGATTTCTTGAAAGCACGTGATAATATTCAATCATATGTCCAATCTTGCATAACTATATCTGTTAATCTGAGCAACAGATTTGATGATAAAAAGACAATATATCAATCATTTTTAATCAGCTATTCTTGTTTTGAAAATCTGTAACATATGTATTGTTGTATGTTATCCTGTTTCTGTGTTTTTTCTTGTTCTTCTTGGTTTTATTTTTGCTCTTCAAAATAAAAGAAAATTATAATAAAAAACAATAAAAAATAAATATATTCCTGGCTTCTAAATGTACAGTATTCTAAAATATAAAACAGATTGTTTATAGTGATTTTTTCTTTCAGATTTAAACACATGTTTTTCTCTTGTGCTCCAGATATTTTTTTTTCAGGCACCAAAATTTTTATTTATCCACCTTCCTGCTTGCTTGTAGTAAGTCTAAACATCATATGTACATTATAAACCAAATTAGTTTTTTTGACCC